TGGTCTAGAGGATCAACTGCTGGCGGAGGTGGTCAAGGCCGAGCGCCCTGATCTCGAGGAGTTGAAAGCCGATCTCACCAAGCAACAGAACGACTTTAAGATAATGCTGAAGAAACTGGAGGACGATCTACTGTCGCGCCTTTCATCGGCGGGTGAGAATATTTTAGGTGACACGGCGCTGGTTGAGAACCTGGAGACCACGAAGAGCACAGCTTCGGAGATCGAGGAGAAGGTGGCCGAGGCGAAGATAACCTCCAAGGAGATCGACAAGGCCCGCGAATACTACAGACCGGCGGCGGCCAGGGCCAGTTTGCTATATTTCATTCTCAACGAACTAAACACTATCAATCCGATCTATCAGTTTTCACTGAAGGTGGGTGGATACACGCCTTCCTGAGGAGATCTCATTATTTTTATACTATATCTTAATCTTTAGGCTTTTAGTGTAGTGTTCCAAAAGGCCATAGCCAAGGCTGAACCGGGCGAAACTTTGGATTTGCGTGTTTCCAATTTGATCGATTGTATAACGTATTCGGTGTTTCAGTACACTTCGCGTGGTCTTTTCGAATGCGACAAGCTGATCTTCGCCTCGCAAATGACATTTCAGGTAAGTAATTATGGGGAACAACCACTTGGCTCTAACCTTTTTGATTCTTCTAATCCCGACTAGATTCTCCTTATGAACGAGGAGGTTACATCGGCGGAACTGGACTTCTTGCTCCGCTTCCCGATCAAGCCACATGTGACAAGTCCTGTGGACTTTCTGACCAATCAATCGTGGGGCGGAATATGCAGTCTAGCGTCCAAAGATGAATTCAGGAACTTGGACCGCGACATCGAGACCTCCTCGAAGCGCTGGAAGAAGCTGGTCGAGTCGGAGCTGCCGGAGAAGGAGAAATTCCCGCAGGAGTGGAAGAACAAAACAGCTCTCCAAAGGCTTTGCATGATCAGGGCCTTGAGGCCAGATCGCATGACCTACGCTTTAGCGTGAGTATCTACTCAAACTGTGTAATCATGGATAGGCAAATACATAACTTTCATGCAGTGATTTTATTGAGGAGAAGCTGGGATCCAAATACGTGGAAAGCCGAGCCATGGAGTTCGCCAAGTCCTACGAGGAGGCCAGTCCCTCCACTCCCATATTCTTCATCCTTTCGCCTGGTGTGAATCCCCTCAAGGATGTGGAGGCGTTGGGCAAACAAATGGGCTTCAGCATGGATCTGGGTAATTTCCATAATGTGTCTTTGGGACAGGGCCAGGAAGCCATTGCGGAGGCCGCCATGGACACGGCGGCCAAACATGGTCACTGGGTGGTGCTGCAGAACATTCATCTCGTGAGGAAGTGGCTGCCAGTGTTGGAAAAGAAACTGGAGTACTACGCCGAGGATTCGCATCCGGACTATCGGATGTTTCTGAGTGCTGAGCCAGCCTCAACACCTTCGGCTCACATAATACCTCAGGTAAATATCCATTATCATTAATTATTATTTATCATTATTTTTAATACCATTAAGAATATGATTTAATTATTTAAGAACCAGTACCCTCTTAATTTTAGCATGAGATATGTGGTAATGTTTCATTAAACAACTCTGTAATTTTTTCCAATTGCTTGCAGGGCATCTTGGAATCATCGATTAAGATCACGAACGAGCCTCCTACCGGAATGTTGGCCAATCTACACAAGGCCCTGGATAACTTCACCCAGGAAACTCTGGAGATGTCGGGCAAGGAGGCAGAGTTCAAGGCCATCCTGTTCTCGCTCTGCTATTTCCACGCCGTGGTCGCAGAGCGCCGGAAGTTCGGTCCTCAGGGATGGAACAAGATCTATCCCTTCAACGTGGGAGATCTGAACATCAGTGTTTCGGTGCTGTATAACTATTTGGAGGCCAATGCCAAAGTGCCGTGGGAGGATCTGCGCTACCTTTTCGGCGAGATCATGTACGGAGGTCATATTACGGACGACTGGGACCGCAGGCTTTGCATCACCTACCTGGAGGAGTACATGCAGCCGGATCTGGTGGACGGCGAGCTCTTCCTGGCGCCTTCATTTCCTGCTCCGCCCAACACGGACTACCTGGGATACCACACCTACGTGGACGAAATGATGCCAGCGGAGTCACCATATCTGTACGGACTGCATCCCAATGCGGAGATTGGGTTCCTCACCACCCGGGCGGAGAACATCTTCCGCACGGTATTCGAGATGCAGCCCAGGGACGCCGGAGCCGGAGGAGGGGCGACGGTGACACGCGAGGACAAGGTCAAACAGATCGTCGATGAGATCATCGAAAAGCTGCCCGAGGAGTTCAACATGGTCGAGATCATGAACAAGGTGGAGGAGCGCACGCCGTATGTGATAGTGGCCTTTCAGGAGTGCGAGCGGATGAACTTCCTCACCAGCGAGATGAAGCGCAGCCTGAAGGAGTTGGACTTGGGCTTAAAGGGTGAATTGACCATTACGTCGGACATGGAGGTGCTGGAGAATTCACTGTTTTTGGATCAAGTGCCGCCCATTTGGACGCAACGTGCGTATCCTTCGCTCTTGGGTCTCAACAATTGGTTCATCGATCTGTGCCTGCGTCTGCGCGAACTGGAGACCTGGTCCACGGATTTCGTGGTAAGTGATCTTTCGAATATAGGTATCTGATATATAGGTGACTTTAAAAATCCTTTCTTATAGCTACCCTCTTGCGTCTGGCTGGCTGGGTTCTTTAATCCCCAATCCCTGCTCACGGCGATCATGCAGAGCACTGCTCGTAGGAATGATCTGCCGCTGGACAAGATGTGCCTCCAATGTGACGTGACCAAAAAGCAGAAGGAGGAATTTACGTGAGTAGTGCTCTTATTGACACGCAAATGCCCAATTGACTCTTGAGGTGACCCCTTCCCGGGAATGTTTACACTTCCATAAGCAAATGATGCTGTGCATCGATCTCAGAGTCACGACTGTCACAGATTCCAAGAATAGATTGAATCTTTAATTCTCGCTATTTTTTTAGAAAACAGTTTTTGTTAAAGATGTATATTATATCACTATATGCTCAATCCTTGAGGGTGAGGTTTAATGCAAGAAAATCCCTCCAAACTGAGACCCATACTGTTTCTCCTGGGATTCTGGAATAAAGTGTCTCTTAAAGTTTGTCTTATTTATTCTTTATAAATTTGCATTAACAAGTGCGTTTTAGAGCCATTTAAAGGTATAAAGATCCAGCAATTACCGAAATTTGTTAATTAGCTTAGTGTTTAATCTCATGCTTCGCCTGGTCTTATCTGCCTCACAATGAGCTCGATTCTCCGCCACATAATGTAATGTTGTGACTTGTAATCACCGCCCGATGCTGGAAAAAATCCAGCTGCGGCCAATGCCCAGCGACCGGCTTGGAGTGCTTCTATAAATAGCCACAATGCTATTTCATAAGAGCTAATTTTAAACCAGCAGTGGAGTATAAATATGTGAGACTTATTAATAGCCCGTAATTTACAATTCTCTATTTACCCATGGGCTGATTGCCTATTAAGTGGCGCCCCGTCAACCACGTTTCACATGGCGTCGCTGCCGGGCAAACAATGGAGTAACGCGGCTCCGGCGCGTCGAAGTCGGAATTAATATGTACTTTTGCATGGAGATTAGCATCGACACCCGCCCCTCTAATTGTCTTTGGGCTAGGGCTATCCATACAATCGATATCTGAGGTGATCTTGTAATTACAGGACGGCACCGCGCGACGGCTGCTGCGTGCATGGGATCTTCATGGAGGGCGCCAGGTGGGACATCCAGCAGGGCATCATCATGGAGTCGCGCCTCAAAGAGCTCTACCCCTCAATGCCGGTGATCAATATTCGGGTGAGTTTGTAATGCAAATCAAATCGGGCGAATGCTAATGCTAAAATCGGCGAATCGAGAACGGATCTGTGGCGTCTCAGTGCTGGCGCATGTTGGCATAAATTCGAAAACTAGATTCCACGCCACTATTCCATTTAATGCGATTCCGATTTCATATAACCTCGTCTATGTACTGCAGGCAATCACCCAAGATAAGCAAGATCTGCGGAACATGTACGAGTGCCCGGTCTACAAGACCCGCACTCGAGGCCCCACCACCTATGTGTCCAACTTGAATCTGAAGACCAAAGACAAGCCGGGCAAATGGATTCTGGCCGGCGTAGCCCTGCTCTTGCAGACCTAATTTAGATGCCTAACCCTAAATATATTTAACTTACCCAACCTAGTGCTCTCATCTAATTTCGTAGAACTTTTCTAGTCATTTACTAGTTTGGCACTTAGAATGACATCTCTTTAGAACAATAATAGATATAAGCTAGACCAATGTACCAAGTTTTCTCGTAGACTCCAAGTTTTTCGATTTCTTCCCTGTAGTGCACAGTTTTTATAATAAAACACCTCCTAAGTAGACTTGCCTTAGGCGCACTAGCATAAAACCGAAAAGAAAAGCTGGACTTGTTTTGCCTGGAATGGGGATTCATGGTGGTAAACTGAGAGTTCAAATAGGTAAGAATGCTCTTAATTCCTATAGCAGTGACTTCATTTGTTTACCCAGCAATTGTTTACATTTGGTAGGTAATACCCCATGGAAATCACCGTCAGTTGATAATGTTCTTCTGGGCGAAGACGGCGGAATGAGTTGTGAGATAATCGTCTGACGACGCAGCTGATAAGTCTGAAAATTCCAAAAATCTTAATGAAAATGCTAAATCAAAAGCGTCGCGTATCCATAAATAACAGGCACTATACTATATGTATCTGGGGGAAGCATGATCAAAGAAAACTCACAGACTTTGCTGGGTGGATTGAACTCGTGGCCATCGCAAACTGAAACAATTTTCATATTTTTTGCCCTGCTTTTTTATTTATTTTCTATTTCGACCTGACTCTCCCGCTCTATAGCTAGCTCTCCCCGATAAGCGTGAGCCGAGTCGGTTCCGAAATGCTGACGAAATTTTCAAAGATTTTCGAAGCATCCCGAGCATCTCAGTATTGAGCGGTACGTGAACGTGAACCAATTGACAGCGGTCGGCGACGAGGAGGAGACTCTTTAGTGACTGCATAAATACATGAATAATTCAAACTCAAAAACCCCAGCGGCAACAACAAGTTGGACCACGACAACGTGACCTGCCTGTAGAGTTATCGATCAAACGACCGACCCGACCGATCCACCAATCTACCCATCTACCCATCCGATTTCGGAGCCCTGCCCCGTTTCATCCGGCATATCTCAGCCCAGCTAACAGCAGCAGCAGCAGCAGCAGCAGCAGCAGCAGCCGCAGCCACAATACCCAATAACCAATACCAAATACTCAATGCCCAAGGAAAAAACACAATAAAACAATCAGAAAGCAGAAATCAACTACAGGCGAAATGTGCGGAGAAACAAAAAGAAAATTGAAGACGACGACACGAGCGTAAATCTTTTTAGCATGAAAAATTCTATAAAACTAACAGGCACTGTGTGGTCGGACATCATTCGTGCGCTACGACGGCAGACGACAGCCGCAGATACAGATACCGGTACGGATACAGATACAGATACGGAGATACACAGCCGGTCGGACGGACAGGCCCTGATTGATTGATTGCCGAGCCCGGGCCCCAACTCCTGCCCAAAAAAGCGATAGCCAAACCCAAACCCAAACCAGACTCGATTCGAAACTAAAAACCAAATTGAAAATCAAAGTGCTCTCCCTGCAGTCCAGTATCTGCAACATCATCGTCATCGTCATCGCCATCCCAGTCCCAGTCCCAGTATCCATATCTAACAGCGGTCAGCATCCCAATCCCAACGGACAACGTCCAGCCGCCAAGCCATCAATCAGTCACCGAGTCACCGCGTCAGTTAGTCAATCGACTAGCCCACTCGCCTTCTGCCTCTGAATCCGATTCTGTTCTGGCTGGAGGATATCTTCGGTCGGCGCTTTAGTTTCAGTTCGCATTTGGACGCGTGCTGTGCGGCCTCGCCGATAGAGAGAGTCGGATCGGATCGGAACGGAATTCTGTATTCTGAATTCTGAATTCTCAGTTGCCAGTTCTCAGTTCTCAGTACTCAGTACTCAGTACTCACTTGACAATTCTATATTCTGATTCAGAATCGTGCGCGAATTAATCTAATAACGTAGCAAGAACCAAAACACTGGCCCACACACGTGTCTGAAGTTCAGTGACAAACCCCAAATCAGACGTCTATATTCCATTGAATATACTATATATAAATCGTGAAATCGTAAAACACTTTTAATCAGCCAGAACCCAAGCGCAGGCACGGCATAATTAATTCGTCTGACCCGCAAAGTTCACCCATAGCAAATACGGTTGTGCAAAGTGTGCTTGTGCTCCCTCCATAAAGTGCGAAATACTCCAGCCAAGCGGAAATCTAAAATAACTTGTAACAACATGAAGCTGTCTGCAGTATTCCTGGCATGTACGTATGATATTTTTTAATACTTTAATCTAATTAGGGGAAAACGGGAACTTAAAAGCCTACAACAAATTAAAACCATGCACAATGAGCTAGAAGTAAAATATTTCCAGTCATTAAAAATGATTACTTTTCTTGTGAAATCCTAATATTTCCCATTTAAAGAAATTCCACAAATTTTCACGTTAAATAAACAAAAACTTTACGATGCGTTTTCATAGAAAACTAAAACTAAAGTTTATTTTCTTGCTAAATTCGAGATCAAAAGTGGTATAAAACAAAATTCTACACTACTTGAATTTTAAATTTACTGCACTGTTATCAATAAATTTAAATTGTATACTTATACAATTCACCTTGAAAGCATTTTAATCTCTTGAAAGTAGGTATTGTTTTTGGGGTTTTCCCATTAAAATGATTATACATAGTAGGTATACAAACGTGATTTTTATACAACAGCTTTCTTGAAACTATACATTTACATGAATTTTGTTTAGTAACATCATTGTAACATAATCAATTTGAACTCATATAAGTCTGTATAAATATATAGCATATTGCTGACTCATGCATTTATTATAAATCTTGTAAATAAGAAATGTGATGATTAGACTTCTGCGTCAGCAAAAATGTGACCCACTAAAATGGTGACCCCTTAACTGTAGCAATTGTAAAGACTCAAACATAAAGACAATGAATCAGAGTAGTTTTTTTACAAGCCGAATGAACTTCATTCATATGCAATCGCGAAACTTATGAATGGAAAATTTCATACTTTGATTGAGTCATTAGATTAGACACCCCAGCAACGCAGTTTCTCGGATTTGGTTCCATTGCGTGCCGACATGGCTAATTAGGCATGCAGCGCTTTTTCCCGATTCCAATTGCTGGGGACGGGGAACTTCAATCGAACAGGGCCTCCATTCCCACACCCCCACCAACCATCGGAATCTCGGATTCGTTGGCACTGCCAGACGCTCTGGCGTCGCGGAGAATCAATGGGCGTATGGAAGTGGACGTGGGTGATATCATGGGCGATGGGCTGATCAGGGCACTTTGTATGCGGGCCCGGTTGACGGGCAGTGATTCTTTCGCACGCCTCCTGCCTAACTAATTGGCTCTGATGTCTCCGTCTATTTATAGTGGCGCTGTTTGCCCTCTCGCTGGTCCAGTGCCTCGGCCTGCCCGATCCCAGCACCAAGTGCGTCATGGAGTGCGACACGCAGGAGTACTCCTTCATTTGTGCCGCGGACGACAAGGGCTCCACCAAGTCATACCGCAATCTGTGCGTGATGAAGACAGAGAACTGCCTGCAGAATGCAAGTGAGTTTAGAAAAATATAGTCATACATACATATATCTTATTCTGACCTTTAACTACTTACCTCATACTTCTCGCATATCTTCTGCAATCTAATCCTTTTTTTCCTTCCTCAGACTATCAAAAGATCAGCGACAAGGAGTGCCCGTAGAGCTATGGATCCATTGGTCTGTAGTCCAGCAGAAATAACTTAATCGTGGAGGAGAACGAGTGGACGCGGCTTGGCATTCCGGAGGACTCTTCTTTCTCGCGTGGTATTTGTGTGTGATATTTTTAAGTTGTACTTCAGCGGAATACAGAACACGCCCCCGAACGTAATGCATAATGATAATGTATTCTAAAATTATGAATAATAAATATTAAATAAAGTAATCGTAACACGCAAAGTTAAACACAGTTCCTTGACCATCACAATGTTGACGAGACGTAATGGGCGATGATTTCATTTCCGCTTCACCCCAGCGAACAGCCAATCCGTCGCCTCTATGTACAAACAGCACCCTGATCTTCTAATCTGTGTTCTGAATTTCTCGATTGGGAATTAAGTCATCAGACCGATTTAGAAAATCGAATCTTGATAGTCTGGCACACACAAGCACTATTGCATTATCCGCTGTAACAAAAGTGTTTTGACATGATTATTTTGGTATAGACATTATGCTGGGAAAGTGATTGTTTTCCCCTTCTTTAATTTCATCTCCAAGTTGCAGGTTTCCCAAATGCTAGCCAAAACGTTAAAGTAATGTAACACGATTTTTTGGGGCTTTGCGCCAACAACAACTAACTTTAATTTAAACAAAGCATTTGATCGTATGTAGACATTGAGATTTAAAGTGGTTAAGCTATATACATATTTTTTGGTGGGCCGATTTTATAACTAACTCGGTCATTTCCAAATTAACAATAGACTTTGTCATGAAATCGTCCCTTTGTCACACTTGTAAATGAATAATAGATAAAGAGGTCAAAAATTTCTATTTGTTGTAAATTTCGTAATATTTTTTAGTAGTTAGGTTACCGTTTAACTTTAACAGTTTGATACTATGAAGACTTTCATCTTTTACTAAAAATTCGTATTTCTTTCTTTTATAATTCAGAAAAGTGTCTTTCTTAAAACATTTCAAATGTTTCATTCAAAAATTTTTTATAAGATTTCGATATTGTATATCATTTGCACTCATTTGGAAAATTGATGATTTCATAAAGTTTAGTAAAAGATGAAACAGAAGGAATTATTATTAAAACCCTCCGTGATGATGGCCTGAAAAAGTCTTTGTTGTTTCTTTGGAAAGGAGCTTTTAGTTTCTGGGATAAGATCACAGTTATATCCCGCAAATTGACCCATCCTAGTAATACATTAATAATAATACATTTAAAGTTGTAATTTAAAACTGCTGAAGTCGCAGTTCCACTTGTAGGGCTATACATGCCCGACGTTCCTCCTTTAGTTCCATGCCCAGCATATTCTTCTTGTGCTCCAGCAGCGCATTCTCGCGAGTGTAGTGCTCAATTATACGCTCATAGTCGGACTCCGGCGGAGCCTGTGATCCCGCAGCCAAGGCGGCCATTTGGCTGTTCATTGACTGCTGCTCGTACAATTGCTTGAGCCTGTAGACTTCGTTGCGCTCGGCGACGATGCGGGCCTTAAGTTCGTTCTGCCAGTCCATCAGCTCGTCGTATTCAATTTGGAGCCGCAACAAATTGTCGCGGTGCGGATTCGACTTTGGCAACAAGATGAAGCCAGTTGCTGGATCAATGGAAAAATCAATTGGAAGGTCTTTGGAGGATGGTTCCTCCGTTTTTGGCTCCTCGGTGCAAATACTGTTGCTAGTGGATGGGACAGGGGTGACTTCTGCCTTGGAATCCGTGGTGTCCTCATTGACGATCGTGGAGGGAGCAGTGCTGCTGTTGTCCAATTCTTCCACGGACTTCTCCTGCTTTTTCTCAAAGGTGCGCAACTTGCGCTTGAGCTGTGTAATTATACGCTGTACCTCCCAGAGCTGCTCCTCGCGTTTCTTGGTAATGAAGCCGGCGTTCATCTCGCTGTGAATCTGGTTTAGGAGGCTGTCTTGCTTGCGCAACTCCGTCTGGATGTCCTCCGGCGTGTCCGGTAGCTTTGGGCTGGCCGAGGTGAGCGGGGGCACATACCTAAAAGATAAAAGTTAGTAATGCGATAGCACTGTTTAAATTTCGGCCTTTCTGCCTGATTAGGAAGCTGGCGAGACGCGGTAAACGCTTCTGTTTGCGGGGTATCGTGCTCATCCTCGGTACCGAATTAAACGACTAAATTACGCTACTTTTACGGTCAGAATCTTATCTAAAGGTAACAGTGGTGGGAATTATCCGAGTTGCTATAGGTACTTATTACTTTCTTTAACTTTTTGAATTGCGTTAAACTAAACTGTAGGTATGGTATAAACTTTTATTCTATTTGTTTTAATTTAATTTGATTCATCTCAAGACAACTAACTAATGAGAGGCGAATAAGTAGATATTCTTCAGCAAGGTAAGAATAACTAAAAATAGGTACCTTTGCCAGCCTATTTGGATATTTCCCACCACTGACATCCGGCTAGCCGGTGTTTGCTCACTTTATCAGCTTGACGTCCGGGAACAGGTTGTTGCAGTGGATGAGCAAAGCCACCATTAGGCGGTGGGACATCTGAAGCGTCGGACTGAGCAGCATGGCCAGCGACTGAGCGTTGAGCTTGTTGTGCCGTTCCTGCTGGATCACCGCGTCGAAGTGGAGCAGCACCCACGCCAACACAGTGCGGTTGCACTTGGGCAATTGATCGAGCAGCTGCTGCAGCTCTGCCTGCTGCGTTGTCACCTTCGGATGGGAGGCCACCTCCTCGAAGCGGGCCACCAGATCGGTGGTCAGCAGCGGCTCCGGCAACTCGCGCAGGAAGAGCTTCAGCAGACTGCAGGCGGTGGGCAGGTTGAGCTCATCGACGGCGGAGTCGTGCTCCCGGTTGTTGTACAACCGTTTGTAGTGCATCAGACGCGTCTTGATGGGCTCAATCTTGTAGATCTGCTCGCACTTCAGGTGATCCTGCAGGAAGTCGATGCAGTCGCGCACAACCAGTGGAATGTCCACGCCGTCGTGGCAGCGGGACCGCTCGGTGGCCAGGCTGACGGAAACCCCAAAGACGGGATATCCGAGGGCCAGCACCTCCTCCGCGGCGGAGGTCTCGTCCTGCTGCTGCGACAGCTGCTTGCTCTTCTTGTCCTTTTTGTCCTTCTTGTCGGACTTTTTGTCTTTTTCCTTGTCCTTGCGCTTGTCCTCCTTGTCCTTTTTCTTCGGCTCGTCGCGTTCCTTGTCTTTGTCCTTCTCGCGGTCCTTGGCCTTGCTGGACGGGCCGGGCTCATCGTCCGCGTGCTTGGAATCTCTTTCGGACTTGTCGCGGGACTTCTCGCGCTTCTCCTTGCTCTTGGAGCTAGTAAACTTGAATGTCTTGGACTTCTTTGACTTGGAGGGACTTCTTGGGATACAAGAGAGGTTATTACTTGTACGTGGATCAGGTTAGGATGGACCTTCGCCCACTCACTTGGTGTCCAGCTCCTCCTCCGGCGAGCTCTCGCCCTCCAAGGCGGCGTATCCCCGGTCCTTGCCCTTCTCCTTCTTGTCCTTGCGCCGGCCGATCAACAGGTCCTTCTTGCTGGGCTCGTGATCTTCGCTGACTGCGAAGGAAAGGTGGACTCATTGATTTTTCCCCATTTTCACGCCCACGCCTGTTGAGCGCCCACTCACAGTCGCTCTCCTCCTTGCTCTTCTTCGACTTGGCATCCGCCGCCTCCGAGGCGTACAGCCCGGGGAACTCCTTCTCCTCGGGACTGTCGAAATCCATGACGAAAAATCACTTTCCCGACGGTAAATAAATAAATAATTTCCGTAAACAATTTGCGAAAAGTAAACAACAACAAATGCAACAAATAATCGATTAATTATGGACAATCGGAAACACGGACGTTAGCCAACACTGTTCAGCTCGGCAGGTGGCGCCACTGTACGATGTAGAAAAGATGTAATAACGGCCATTGGCATTGTGTAAAATTCTGAATTTAAAAATTTGAATTCCAGAAGACGATTTGATTCTAAGCAAACTTTACTTTCCTTTCTAAAGAGTATGGCTAGTAAGGTCTAGTTTTTTGCTATTATGTTTTGCTGTGCAAGTATTTATCTAGATTTTCCATGATTTAGTAAAACGGATGAATTTCAATTACGTTTGTTTTGTTTTTATTAAATAAATTACGACAGAATATAATTACGATCATTTTGTGCATTGCCCTCCTATACAAATAAAAACATGCTTATAATATTCATTTTTATTTAGTTTAAGTTAATTTTACATGACTGATATTTCTTTTTTTATACGTACAAGGTTAAAAAATTAAGTAATAAATGATTGAAGGGAAATTATTAACAGAAATCTCTTAAAAATATATATTTTTTAATTTAACAGGATTTGTGTTGTTCTACGAAACTTTTTTTCTAACTCAAATTTTGTTTTAAATGAAAATGTATTTTGTTGAATTTTTTTCTTTTAATATTAAACTATAGATTGACGTTCAGGTGGAAAATCAGATGTCCTTAATGAAACAAAGCTTAAATACTTCGGAATGTTCCAAATTGTCTCATATAACATCGTTTTTTCTTACTTCAATATTTTGTTCAATTATTAATTGCCTAATAGCAATAATCTGTAAAAGTATTGACTTAAGTCTAATCAATTTTTTATGAACACATTAAAGGTGTCCACGTATTTTACTCGAAAAACAATTATATTAATCAGCTGAATTGTCCCGCTTCAATCGGTTCCGCGGTGCATTGCTTATCGCTCAGCTAGCAACTGGGGTGGAGTGGAAGGGAAAAGTGCAGGCATATGTAAATACTCATCCATTGCCGGCAAGCCAAAGAAATGCAAATAGTGCGTGCTGATGCGGCTGATGCAATTCCGCATGGGGATTGCAGCATCTCCAGAATGACGCAGAGATTAGCCTGCGGCCGTCACAAACTGGCCATCAGCAGCTGGGTGCCGTTGGACGCCAAGGATAGCGGGGTGGCCATCGTAGTCGTGGTCGAGTTTCCGCTAATTGCTCTATTTGGCTGGCAGACACTGCCGGAATGGGCCATAACCAGCCCGGCAATCAGGGTCAGCAGGAAGGCCAGTCCCAGGACCCCGCAGCTGAATCGCCGCACGTTCTGCCACCAGGGATCCAAAGCGAAGGGCAGCAACTCCTCCAGTGTCAGGCCGTAGGAATAGCTGCGAATGGAGCGGGGTGAAGGCACTGTGTAACGAAGTTATTTTTTAATGAAATGCGACGGAAAGCGTTTACTCAGCAGTTGTGAAAATGGGCTCATAATCCTTTGGATCCTTCCGCGTCGCAGGCATGACAATGATGTGCTGGCGCTGCTGTCCTTGTTGCGTTGCCAGCAGCGCTGTTTTCTCATTGCAGGACATATTTGCCTTGTGCTATGTGGAGATTGTGCTGGGCAAGGGTATACGCGTTTCGTGAACAACCTGTATTCATTAAGTAAAATAAGTTATCGTATCTTCACAGTTCGTAATAAGGATTTTTAATACTTTTACATCTTAAGAACCTTTTTTTGATGACGTTTATTCATAAAGCTAATATGATTCTGATTTGATTAAGGAAGTAAAGATATTACAATTTAGAAACCATCGTGTTAGGATTATAAACACCTAGTATCTACCAAGAATTTGTATCCACTTGCAACCAAAATGGTTCAAAACTTTTTGCTCCTTAAAAAAAAATATCTTTGTACGAATAGATTAAATAGCTGATTTATATGATCTATTAATAAATTTCTTATAAATTTATAAAATACTGAATAAAACAATCGTAGCTCCCACGACTTATCTCTTTGAAGTAACAAAGGCAAGGCACATAAACTTCGTTATCTTTAAAGAGCGGGTACTCAAATGTCGGTACTTTTTGTTAACCATCTTACTTGTCTGTCTCTCGGGACGATCCCTGGGATTACAAACACTCCAAGCTAGTGGAATTCGCTCCGTGGAAATGGCTCCGTGGAGAACTGGCGGACAACTGGCGACTCGCTTTCGGTTTGTCGCAACTTTAATTAGCTTGCAGCTGGGACTGTCTCATTCTCCGTGCTTTATTGCCATCGCTGTTTGCCTTTGTGCTCGGATTCCATTCCTGTAAACAACTTTATCTCGTTGTCTCTCCGCTCATCTTCCGCAACCGGCAGGCGGTCTTATCTAGCTCCGCTTTTTTGGGGCATTGCATAATCGCGAATCCCCCAGTTTCCCATAGCGATAAGTCCCCGACTTCAGGGAAGTAAGACCAGAAATGCGACGGATCGATCGGTTTAATGTGTTAGTTTATTGGGTTTCGTTTGGTAAACATGCACGGAATACATATATACGTATGCAGCACTGCTGAGAGATGCCAGTAACTCTAGGCCCTAGGCTCTATTCGATTCGATTAGGTAAAACGCTGAGCCTTCGTCCTTGGATCCTGAGATCCTCAGAGTCTGGCCTACGCTACGAGTACGAGTACGAGTATGTTCTCTTAGTGAGTACGAGTATATTCAAATGTGTAGCATTAGTTCGGGTATTTTCTTATAGCGTATTGAAGTGAGAAGAGATACGGTTAGTGAGATCGATAGATCTTCACCCCAAGCATATGCTACACAAACTACATATGTGGCTTTCGATCTATTCGATTATTTGCATACTTTATCGGCTTAGTTCTTGAATACATCAGTTAAATGGGTCTCTGGATGTACGATTATATGTTTGTAGTTGCTTTGGTTTTTGGGTAAAATCACATTCATAAGTATACATTTAAAAATGCAGGTATAATTTGAATTCGAAAAAACACGATAACAAACAGCAACTGATTAATATTGTACAATACACATACATATTAACTGTCTGGTTTGCCCATCAAAACATATAGATTCGAATCCTATCAACTATCGTACATCTATGGAAATCAATTTAAAGTCGATCAAATCAAAAGGAAATTATAGAACCCATAGGGAGAATCAAAATAAAGTGGAACCAATAAGTTGCTAAAGTAATCTGCTCATGCCTTTATCCATATACGCTGCCTACTCCTAGTTCTTTAGAAGTACCTACATCCTATGTCGGAAGCACTTTAATCGTTTTATTTGCCTTTGCCATTAAAGATAATCGTCTATGGGTAATTTGTTTGTTTGTTTGTCTGTCTGCATATATATCTGGTTATCCTCTGTGTCGTATTGTTACATTCACCGCCCCTCGGCCCTCCTACATATATCATTCACTATTCCCTCAGTTTTATATTGATTTCCTTGCCATGGATATCTTACCCTGACCCCTGGTCGAGTTCTTTGAATCGCTTGTTAACTGCAGTAATATTTTTTGATCTATTAAAAACTTAGACGTACTCTGATATAGTCCTAACTTCGGTTCAAAAAGGGAAATGAAAAGGCGTAAATTGAAATAAATTTAAAAAGAAATTTAATTATAATATCTAGCGGTAAACGTTGACAATATAATTTAATACATTATTTATTCGTATTTGTATATTTATTAAATTGTTTCATAGTTCGTATATGTATGCGGTAATTAATTATCAATTACGACTAAATTTGGCGCAGTTTTCTCAACGAGTTCCCCGTACAGTTGTGTAACCCCAAATATATAATACAAATTTATGCATGTGGCTATAAATATCATTAGGCCTCCTCCTCCATTAATTTGCTAGAATTTCGCTATATGAAAAATAGTACAACATTATACAAAAAATATGTACCTGCTCGTTACACTCGGATACAATCAATTCTAGTTATTTATTCTCGCTATTGTTTTGGTGTTTGCCTTAATATTCCGTTTTCAATTTCAATTTCTCTACTTCGATCACTGCCAGCGACGTAAGCGAATAGAAAGTCTTTTTTAAGTAAATTGATTAGTGATCTCTTGTAGTTTTGCAGTGCAGTGTGGAAACACTGATGGTCTTTCTTGCTATCGCTAATCGCTAGTAAGTAGTGCCGCCATTTGCTTTGGTCAGAGTAATGAAAATGTTGCTAGTTGGACTCGTGTCGATAGTGTAAAGTGACTAGAACTAGTTGTCGAGGAGGCTCCTACTCAGTAATAGTAGTTTTTGTAGTATTTGTAGTAGATGGCTAGAGGGATTGCGTTTCTTCTTGGCTAAAACCTTTAGATTCTTCCTAAAACTTACACATGTATTAAATTAACAATGGTATTCGGCAGATGGAGAGACAATATCGGTTGATTCGGAGTGAGGATCCAAACGATCCCAACTTTCTGATCTTTGATTTTATGGGGGGATTAAGTACAGCTTTAACAAACAACAACAATGACTTAAGTTGTACACAGAATGATATAATAAATATAATCGTATTTTAAAGGTAAATTAAGTATATATGGCATAACAGTAAATGATCTCGTTACAGTTACAAGATTGCTGAGCCGTGGCAGCCTTTCTGTATTTACAATTCAAATATGAATAGAGACAATAATCGTAAAAATGGTTTGTATATAAGCCTGACTTAAACCTAGTTAAACATTAAAATTTTACTTTTAGTATTAACATAAATTTTACACAAGAATTATTTATATATAGCGCCGAGCACACTCATATATATAAATCAATTTCATAAGTTTACATATAAAAACTGCATCTACAGCATCTTTCGACAGCTTCGCAATATCGGTTAGCCTCATCTTCCGTATTCTCCTGTAGCCTTACCGACTCTGCCAAAAATCCAACGCCAATGCGAATAACAAAGCCAACTACAAAGTCAAAGCAATGCGGCTGCGAGCTCCTTAAATCCTAATGACATCGTAGGCCTCCAGTATGCAGATGACCACGTAGAAGACCCAGAGGAAAACCAGAATCGCTGCGCTGATATATTTGGAGATCTTGGGGCCGCCCAGCTCGGCGCCGATGCCCTTGTGCCAGCGCCGGAACATGATGATGAAGATGGCAATCAGAGCCTCGCCGCAGAAGAGCGCCACGGCAAATCCAATCCTGGAATGGAAGAGTTGATATAATTAATAAAAATTAATTTTGGTTAATTCAAATCCGATGAAATGTAATTGAATATTGCTTAGCAATTAAAGATAGCTAAACTTTAGAGTTATTTTTAAGTACAGAATGATTAGTCTTCAAATGGAATTGTTCCGACTTTTTAGTTCTTTGAGCAAAAAGCAAAAAACAAAAGAGAAAGCCATAGTCGACGGTTTCGTTACCCGTTATTCATGTAAAGGTAGTGCGAGGGAGATGGAGATATGCAAGCAGCAAATCGGCTGTTTTCAAGATGGAACACTTTATTTGCTTATAACTTTTTAATGAATGGTCCAACTATAACCATTTTTGGCATATATTGATAATCGGAACAAAATCAAACGAACATACGGACTTGACTAGTTCGACTAGGCTAGTGATCCAGATCAAGAATATATATACTTAAGTACCGTTTTAAGATCTTCACATCGCTAACTTACCAGATATGGGACATATCTCAATAAAAAAAATGTTGGGAGATAGGATGATGAAATGTTTACACAAAATAAAATATAACAGATTTTAAGAGAATATGGAAAGAACATTTCTTCATCATTAAGTCATGCATTGTTCAAATAAATGAGCAATATCTGATGTTATTTTTAAGATTGAATCAAGTCTCTTGAAAAAATAGTATAAGTTTCTAGAAAGGATTACTCACGTTCCCGGCTCCACGTTGAAGGTGCCGCCATGGGAGCTGTGGTAGACTGCGGCGATGGTCCAGGCCAGGCCGATGCCCAGGAACACGTTGACCGCATTGCTGCCCGTGACATTGCCGATGCAATTATCGGCCCCCTCGTCGTGCTTGGCGGCAATCATGCTGGCGAAAGTGTCTGAAGGGCAGGAGGATGTCGGTGTCTCAGTGGGTATTCCAGCTATGGCATGGTCTCAAATCACTACTCACCTGGTATGCTGGTGCCCAGGGCGACAAACAGGATGGCCGTTACCGAGTCCTTGATATTGAGGGCGCATCCGAAATAGGAGGCGGCATCTCCGATGACGGCGGTTATGACGCCAATCACGAATATGGACACCACAAAGGTCACATAGCCGCCGCAAATGTCTGGTGGCGTTTCGGTACTTAAGGATTGATCGATTCGAATAGGAAAAATGAGATGTTTACCTGTGGGCGGCACAAATGCAAAGAGGACCTTCCAGAAGAGGCAGACGAAGTGGCTCACGTAGCTGAAGCAGCTGGGCACCTCCTCCTCCTCATCGTCGTTATCAAACTCACTTTCGTCGGCTGCAAGTGTTTGTTTGCGTCAGGAAAGGGGATCTATGGAAAATGAAAAAATTGATTGGGTCTACCTGGGATAACGGTGAGGGCATCTTTGAACTGTTCCTTCCAGGACGAAGTGCCAAGGACGGCGGAAACGTTTGCTTTGGCCACCAGTTTGTCCACAGTAGCCTGTAAATATTATGAAAACAATTGATAAGAAACTAAAGTAGTATAAAGCCCTTTGAAATCCTTTATCTCACTAAAAAACTGTCAATAAACAACACGGCCAACTTTTTCCCTGCTCACATTACGTATACGCCACCGACGCACAGACAACAAGACCTATCCCATAAAACACACACAGACCCAAGGTAAACAGAGCACTCAACGTGTCATTTGGAGATTTGCACACAATTAGGTGCTTATTTGCCTTGCACCTGAGCGGTTAACAGTAACTCGATCCGTCGCGTGGATAAGGATGGCTTTCCACCTGGGAATCATAATGGGTGTGACTGTCTCGCAGTAAATGTGTGCTGGGATTTCGGTCGTCAGTGGAATGTCAAGTGAATGTAATGGAATGGAATGGCTTTTCATTAGCATTGTGGAACTATCTGCTTATGTCCAATCCAGTCCAATCAAAGGGATTACTCACCTTGAATTCCTGGCTCTCTCGGATGCGCACATAGGCGGTGGTCAGTTCTCCGTTCCTCGGCTTGCTCAGCAGCAGGATGCGATCCAGTTCGGTGAGATCCTGAACGGACTTCTTCTCGACCTCCTTGATTTTGGCTGCCATTTCATCGTCTGGCCAGGGAGTAAACCAAGTATTAGACC